TGTCTCTTTGAGGTTGTTTTGTGTCTCTTTGTGTCTCTTTCTAGACATTTAGTGTCTCTTTGAGGTTGTTTTGTGTCTCTTTGTTTTCATTTTATCTTTCTTTCTGTTCCTTGTGAGTCTCTTCCTGGTTGGTACATGTCTCTTTGAGTGACATTTTATAGGTGAAGGCCAGGGGATCCCTGTCACCCTGGGCCCTTGACCCTATGCCCGGTAGACGTGTTCAGTAATCCATCCATGGTTTCCTCTTTACGATTCACATTCTTGTCCACATCTCATAAACAATAAAGGGGTGTGCAGGGTATTATTTTTTCTGGATGTCTAAATGAGTATGAGTAAAGATCAGTGAAAGACTTATGGTAGCCCTTCAGAGGGAGTCTTATCATGTCTTTATCTTTATCTGTCCCATCAGCTTTTATTGTTTTCTCTACATCTGACTTGTTCTTCATGCAGGATGCAGTAAATTTTAAGTATCTTTCTGCTGTTGGAGTGTGAATGAGTGTGCGACGGTTTGTGTCACGTCAAGGCCATTATCTAGGTGATCTGATTGCAGATAACAATCTAATCTGATAGGTTCAGGTACCTGCTCTGCAGTAAATAAAGAAGTGAAGACACCTTTGGGCAACTGTTCCACTGACTCACTACAATGAGATTTCCAGCTTGTGACCCTGACCCCTGTCGACCAGCTTCTATAAAAAGTTTATGACTGCATATCTGCTGATCTGGTATGTAGTCTTCTTGCATTGTTCTTTGCAGACTTATGTTTCCCATCGTATTTATACCTCGTTAGTTAAACCAACTTGAGCAACTCAAACCCAGAGTGTAACAGTTTGCGGCTCAGCAGAATTCTGGAAAATGTCCATTTTGAGTTTCAAGCTATTTTGAAACTTTTGCTTTTTATTTTCAAAGTAAAAGACAACTATCAACAACGTTCTTTCTTTCTTTCTTAATTTAAAACACATTTCTGTGACTTCTAAAATAAATGTGTGATCATTTTGGTGAGTCATAACATAATGCATGATTTATTTAACATTAAGAATTCTATGTTTGTGTCAAAAAAGCATCCTCTAACTCTAATGTAGAAGAATAAGCAGGGAAGAGGTTCAATGGGTGTGAATAGTTTGTATCACTATTATCTGCACACCAACAATTAATGTACAGAATTAGAACACGGTTTATTTAACAGCTTTTGATGAAAGAGGATAAATAATGAAAGAGGCCAATTCAAAAGAGGTTGTCTTTATTTTGTCATTTCTACTGTCAAATAGATCAGGCTTCACTTTAAGTGGTATAAAACGCTTGTATTGGGAGCCAGAACTAGAGGCACTGCTGCCTCTAAGGGAGTCAGATGGCGTAGCACACAAAGCGACAAAGTCTATAGAGGAGGGTCAGAGGATGGATGTGTCAAAGAAACACAGGACTTTCACCTTATTTGAAGCTGTAGTTGCATAACTCTCATACTTAACTAACATCACATGCTATGCTCCTAACAAACACTCACTTTATGCAACAAATGTACTTATTTTAACCCAAACCAAGATCTTCCCCTGAACCTGAACAGGTTCTGCACTGCAGGGGTAAGTGCACCGGTCGCACTGCTGCTGGACATTTGTAGGAGGAAAAAATGAAAAATAACTTCTGGGAAGATATATGAACCTTTACATGAAGATAAATACAATATAATACATACAGTGATTATTTATTGAGTATTTATTATAGGGCTGCAACTAACGGTGTTTTCTCCGTTAATGAAATGTTTCGTTTTTAAAATGTAGAAAGACATGTACAGTAATCTTGCAGTCATGGTAATAATTTCACACGGCACTAGGACATGTATTCAAATGACTTATCATGTATGACTTAATTTTGAAATTCTTGTTTCATTTGTTAATATATTAAACTTGAGGTTTCTTCAAACAGGGAATTTTGGATATAATTATATTTCTATGACTGCATGAATCAGAAAATACTGTCAACAGCCAGACCAATGTTCTGCCATATTTACTGGAGTAACATGTTCTATAAACCAGGCTGTGGATTATATATGAACAAACCCCTCTGTGAGATCTTCAGACTATCGATAGGAATGAGCCGGTATGAAGAGCTATGAACTGGAGACTACTGTCTCAAAGTACGGGAAGAAGTCATTTTTAGAAAAACAGCCTGTAAAGATATGCATTATGAATCATTTATATTATTATTTAAATTATTATAATAACTATTTTTTGAACTACAGGTTTTCTGAAATATTATATATGCAACTAAGACATTATCAACCGCTGACTTTTGGTAAATTCAGGTACATACATCTGTCATTCTTCCGGTCCACATGCTTCTGTTGAGTCGTCTCTTTAATTTGTTTTTCATAATTGGGACTTCGTCCTTTAATTCCTGTGAAGTGAAATCTTAATGCTAAAACCTGCAATGCTGATAGACGGTGCTGTGCTTCTTGCACTGTGGGGGACACCTGCTCCTGACCCAACAGGACAACGGTCCCGTGCACAAAGCTTCATAAAGAAAAGCTTTTCCCAGTTGGGTGTGGAGGTTGACT